ATGCAGTTTTACCAGTCAATGACTTCGCAATCGTTTTACCATGTCTTCAGGTATGTATGTATTCAGTCACATTGTCACCACATTTTTCTTGGCTGCTTTTGGATGCAGTCAAACGCGATGACTGTATCATCTTTTCTCCATTGTCTTTTACTTTGATCTTTCCGTTGGAAATCCGCTGCACAACCTTCCTCGTGTTATGGTGATATCTTCACACTACTTTCCGGTGCTGAGAACCATTCCAATGTCTAAGCAGAGCCCTACCCCGTCCTGACCACCTTTGTCGTGGAATCACGTTTTCTTAACAGAATCAATTTCGTCATGTCTTCGTAGTATAGGCCATAGTAAATTATTCAGTGTGGCTGGAAACACCTCACATATTCTTCGATTTTCAATCAGATATTTACCAGATCTAAACCGCGCACTATTTCTCACTCGGCTGTGAACGTCTTCGCTGTTTGCTGCTTGTTTAAATTTTGCTGTTCTACTACTTTGTAATTGCAATAAAATCTCATTATCTAAAATGTCTTTTGCCTTTTCTACTTTGCCGTGCCTCGCTTCGATAACGATGATTTGTTCTTAGATATTGTTCAATGCATTCCTTCATTGTGAGATCAAATCACAGGACCATTTCTCAGTTAGGTAGTCTGGGAGAAAAATCTTGCCAACAGGGTGTTATGATGTCCGGTCTACTTCCTTCGATAGCGTTTATTTCAGCGATGTCCTTCTCACTACTCACAAGTAACTAAATCTAATTTTTCTCGATTACGGACGGTTGGTTCCTTGGCCGACCCAGATAATTTTACCAACAGTCAACTTGAGGTTATCCGTGTGTTTCATGTCGACAATTGGGTTATATGTTACCTCCCACGTTAAAAATAACCCGGTGCTTTAATTTAGCATGATATTATCAAAAATGGTTTGTACATGTTCAGGTCCAGAATGCTGATGCATCAGACTGTGCTCAACCATGTGCATCAACATCCGCGGCGAATTCAGATGGTAGCTGTTCAGTCACACTGGGGAAACGGCGTCATCCAATCGGGTTACTTCGCTTAATCGCGCAAGATCTAGGTGTTACAGAACACGATCTCTTGGAACTGGAGCTCTATTTTTCGGACTGTCAACCTGCTCGTATTGGTGGACTCCACAATGAATTTATTCACGCCCCGCGATTAGACAATCTGTTCAATTCGTACACTAGTTTATGTGGACTCGTTGGTTCAATGTCAAGTTTGAATGAGGACAGCACGTTGCGTCTGGTTTGCCTGTACGATCACGAAGAGATCGGATCTACTTCGACTCAGGGAGCGAACTCCGTACACACAATAAACATACTTCGGCGCCTGACTGAGGCTCTGGCACCCACTTGTGCTTTCGAGGCCGCGAACCCACCCGCTGCAAGCAACCCCACGGAATCGGAACCTGAGTCTTCTAACAATGTACCGTCTGCACCAGTGCCCTACAGTCATTTGGAGGAGTCGCTTAGCAAATCGTTCTTGTTGTCTGCAGATCAGGCACATGCAGTACATCCGTCTTACCACGAACGTCATGAACAAAATCATAAGGCACAACTGCATTGCGGCCTAATTTTGAAATATAATAGTGCACAGAGATATGCCACAAACGCGCTCACTGCCGCTGCTGTGCGACAGATCGCCCAACATGCTTCTGTACCTATTCAGGTTAGTCGATATGCATTGTTGCGGGTTTTGGCTTTGTATTTATTTGATATAGTTTCACTGCGGCATTTTGTTTCACTTACCTGTTCGATTGTGTGATTACCCGTGATCTGCTCTAAATGTTCGCTTGATTGCTTAACGTTTTTAACCGAAATTGCCAGGTATTGTACCGGAATCATCGTATAATTTCAAGTCATCTAAATGCATTTAACCGTACTTGTGTAAATTAGGAATTTCTATGGATACCGGTCAATCTAATTCTTCTTGCATCAGCACACTGATTTCGTGTTTAATTTTGCGCCTTAGAGACTTTCCCAAATCAATATGTGAAATTTTCTTCAACTACTTAGTCATTTGTTTCCGCTTAGACATAATATACTAGAAATATACTAGAAATTAGTTTAAACCATCCACTGCGTTGGTTTCACTTGTTTATTGATTCACCTTATCCGTGCATGATAACATTTTTAAGAGTTTCTGTACCCTTTTTGTTTGATGTCCGCTGTAAACAATGTTAGTTGTGTTTGACCTATCTATCGTGCTTACCTAGGAACAGAGTACCTCTTTATTCGCTGTACTTCCTCAGAGCTTGGCGGTATTTCGAACAGCAGTTGTGCGTAATTCTGCATATGTGCCATTTTTCGGTATTCATCACTCTCCCTTTCTCGTTCGCTCACCTCAACCAAACAGGAGTTCACTCCACGACAGGATATGCATTGTGGCAGCACCATCGGTCCACTTTTATCATCCCATCTGGGCGTACCAACAGCTGATGTGGGCTTCCCTCAACTAGCCATGCATTCGTGTCGTGAGCTATGCTGTACAACTAGCGTAAGCCAAGCGATACGCTTCTACTCAGCCTTCTACGAACAGTTGTCTAAATTGTGGCCACCTGAACGTGCTTGATCACTGCTCAAGTTGCAAACAATTCACTCCCGGATGATCGTTGGTCACCTGGCCTTACTCGTCGCAAATTCTCTCGCTCTGTTCCTTTGAATCACACAGATACTTGAACAATACCTGTGCATTGGTCATTTTTGCTCCAGTTTCGTTTCCAACTGCAAAACGCTTGTCTTTTTATCAATTAGGAAACTGTCGTTTTGCACGGCGGTGCTCTTGTTTTTACTGGCATCGTCCTCATTGCTTGACTAGTCTACCACAAGACTCAAGCAATCAACACAGCTGCATGAACCCTCCCTCCGTCAATTCCAATTGACCATTATCCACTCACGATATCCCGCTCCGTTCCACAAACACTATTGGAGGTTTGGAGTCTATCCTTTATGCATTCCTTTGTCCCCATCCAATCCAAATGCTCGTTTTGTTCATATGCAGACGGTGACGGTGTGATCAACCTTCACTTTCAGTCCACCGGTTCACCGCTTTTGATAAAAAACTGACCACATCGGCGACAATGGTGGATACAAATGCTAAAAACGAAAAGAACACTTTTTAACATTTTTGTGTTATTCTTTCTATTTCTTTCCTCTGTCTACGTCTAGCCGTTCGCGCTGTTCACAATGCACCAGCTCCGTTCTGTTTCTCTTCATCGTCATGTTCGATGTGGCGCGTGATTGCGTATGTGACTACCTATGTCTCTTCTCCACTGTCCTGGATGTGTGCATGTTTATGTGTGTGTGTGTGTGTGTATGAATAAAGCTGCAGACTTTGATAATGCCAATGTCTTTCGAACTTGCAACTTTTTTCGTCCTCCACTGTTTCCTACCTCTTCATCTTCATTTCACAAACATTCTCCGACGAACTATGACCTCTATTCTTCACGTTCCTGCACCCCTATTCCCATCTAATCGGTTGGCTCTGACAGAAGAGTTTCCACTGGTTGGATCCCATACACTTGTTCAGACTGACGCACACTCATCCGCTAATACTTTCCCTATCACCTCACCCCCACAAACATATGGAATCCAATGCCGTACGCAATCCCCACTTCAAATACAGAGAGTTTAACTGTTTCATATTTGCGCTTCTACGCCAAAATTATTGCATGGGTGAACATAGTATTTTGTTTGTAATATTCTGAGCTTTACGGAAACGTGAATCTGTTACATTAGCATCCAGAATGAAGTTGGAAACGGTTTCCAATGTCTCTCGCTGTGTGTACAACACGAATTCNGTCAGTGCGCTGATGGATACAGAGTTTATGGGCTTTGATAAAACAATTTTTCCGAGACAGCATCAAGCCACAGCCCGTGTGGTTGAGCTAACACCCATTTAAGGGGACAGCGGATTGGAACGTGTGATCTACCCACATGCTCTGCCGTATTGGTCTCAATCTTTGTGTTGCTGTGTACCGAAAGTAAGTATGCCCTAAACCTCGATTCACAAAAGGTCGAGCATGCGAACCACTACCGTGCCTAGACAGGCTGACAATGCTCATCCAGTTCTCGTGCCAGAATGTGCAATCCGATGGAGACTAGAGTTTGAACCCTGGTATTCCGCTAGGCGCCACAGTAATTTTTCGCAAATGAAATAAAGCCGGACGCAATCGACCTCTGACAACTAAGCACATTAAAACCACAGGAGACGAAGTTTGAAATATGTGACGATACATTGTCAAGGACTACTCGGATAGCTGGGTTTTTAATTGTATTTCACGCAAGTCTGAATCCATACTGTGAGCAAAACAAATTGTAGCACAGTAATCTCTTTAAAGACGGAAGTTCAATGTTATGTTTGTGGTCAGAACACTGCCGGGTTGCCAAGATTTTTGATGCCCAACTAGCAAAATTCGTCTGCTTGTTTTAATATTTCATGAGACGTCGAGAGAAATTCACACTGTTTTAAAGTTCGCGACAAGGAAACAGAAGTACATCACTTTCAACAAAAGATGATAGTTATCATGTGATCTTTTTCCTTTTTATTTGTTTGTATAATCCATAATCTTTGTATTCATTGAAAGACACCGGGAATTGAACGTCGCACTCCATTAGTGAAATTAGAAGCCAACTTCCTGTAACATCTTGTTTGCGGATATTGCGAGTTCCATAAATTAGATGTGGAAAATACAGGCTCCGTAACTTGATGACCTATTAATGCAATTTGTCAGATAATTCTATCCAAAGGGTTTAAGGCCCGACGCCATCCTGCCAACGCGAGTTGTTATTTTCATTTTTTTACGTGAGTAGTTTCACTAGTATGTAACAGCTCAGGAACTTTCAAGAGTATACAGCGTTATTTATCCTGATACATGAGCTGATTGGTATTCTCGATCGATTCTTTGCTCTTAGCGCTTCGAAATGGTTCCGAATTCACTCATCGATTGTCAATCCAAAGGATTCGGAAGAGAGAATCAATGCCTAGAACTGGTGAATTGAAGGCAGTGAGCGTACCTGAGCACCAGTCTTACTCAATGGGCATTGTTCTGTGGTTTCCGGTTCGTGTGTGCACCTGGGGTCACAGCGGGTGGGTGGGATAGAGGTTCATCAGACAGGCGATTGATTATAAGCGTACGTGTATTGTGGTCCATAGGGGTGCGCCCACTTGTCCATCACGTATGCAGAACTTCAATGTTTGCGCACGTGAAGGATGCTGGCCGCTTATCGGGATTGGTTTGCATGCCTGTGGACCGCAGCGGGAATCTAGCATGTGGTTTGATTAGATAATTTCAGGTTTCAGCATTTTATGATCACATGTAGATTTACTTGTCACTGCTCTTGCTTCAAGTACCTTCAGATAAGCATGAGCCTTTGTGAATGATCACAGCTGCACGGCATATTGGGTATCCAAATTGATGTAACCGGATAGAACTTGGTTTTTACCATTTGAGTTGATCTAGGGACACAACGACCACGTTACACTCGGATTCGATTTAAAAATAATTACGACTAGATTGCACATTTCTAATAAGCCTGATTTTATCGCTCTATCGGAGCTCTCGAATTGTTCTATCGGGGCGATAAAACGGGAGAACTATTCGAAATACTTGCGTCAATCGATGAGCGTGGTTCGTAGACAATCATAGATTGTGCGATATGACCTCCAGAGATTCGAAATAGGTTGTACATAATATTTCCACCACTGTGACGCCTGTTTATTTGTTCGCTCCGCATTGGTTGGGTTCTCGTCCCAAGAACTCTCAATATCATGAAATATCGGAGGCATCACGGTAGTGCACAAACACACGCACTTCATCAACTACTGCAGAGGTCGTGTATTCGAATCCCTCGAAAATCAACTATTTGTTCCATTTCTTTTGTTTGATCGAAACGCTCACCTGAGAATTGGCTCTACCATTATTGTCTTATGCGTCAAAGGAAAAACAATGTCATCAATAGTTCTATCATTAGAGGTATAAATTCGTCCCATTATTACTATGATTCATCGTACGATGATGCAGAACACGTTTAATTAGTTTATTGGAAAAATTGGTAAATCAATAGCTTGGTGTAACAACTTGAGGTTGCGAGTGCCCTGGGGTTATACAAGAACATGATTGCGTATTTAGCTGACAATAGCAATAATTCTGTACGACCAGACTTCACTTAATTGGTATTGAGTGAACCTAGGGATTCGTCAGCAAGAATTGCGATCCAATATGAGAATCTGTGTTTTATCCCAATAGTGCTATGACCATTCGAATGTCGCTGCTTTATTCATTGATAGGTTTTCTATCCCTCCCAATCTAAAGTCCTCCGCTGCATTCGGTTTTTTCCTTGAAGTTAATTAAATTAGGTGAATAGAAAGAGGGAATCAATGAATCCGAAGCAGTTGGACCTCGAAGACTTTCATAATTTCCAGTTTTCCATTAGATATTTAAGGCTCAAACATGGATTGATCTTACTGAGCTTGGTTGTAGGGGTTCGGTGCTGTCCCACAATCCCTGAGCGGGTTCACTCATGAGAAGTACGAACGAGGATTGAGACCTGACCTCGACTGACAGTTGACACTGGTAAATCAATCGCCAATTGGCGTTTGATTTTACACACAGTCTGCGTAAACAGTTATAATCAGATTGCTGTCGCGTCTGTCATCGTCGAACTGTCATTCATTACTTATTTTGGTAATTTTACCATATAGATAACCTAGAACGCTTCATTTACGCGGTCTTCTAATTAGACCTGATTATATATATCCGAAACCCTGAGTAGAATGGATCATATTTCAGTATTTGTGCTTTTCGCTCACTGCCGTGATTGGGTCGTGCTAAGCACGAGGGATGGAAACCAAAACTCGAGGCATCGATGAAAGTGACAAAACTCTATTCGGATGTCTTCTCAAGGTCAAGTACAACTGTAACAGGAAAGGCGAAGCAGTTACCTAGCAGACGGTGTTGATTCTGCATGGATACGTAACAACTATGGTGAATTACACCTCTTGATCCGGAGCTGCACGCAAGATTTGCAAGAATGTCCCATGGAACAAACCGATTATATGTATGTACAATGAAGCAAGATACGAATTTAGTCGATGGTAAGCAGCAGTTGTTCTTCGGATCCACATAACATTAGCTGAAAAATTTATCTGGACTTTTAGGTGCCGCAGTTGGTTTACAAACATGTGCCAAATTATTAGCAGTTTTCTATTTTTCGAGGTACAAGTTTGCAAGTTTACATGTGTGGTCCAATATTTTGTCGCAAAAGTTACCAATCACTTCCGGTGAAATATCTGATAGATATCAATCACGCACTTTGACATCGGTTTCGTAGCAGACAAATAGCTCGACCAGCGTTTGGATGGAGGGATGCATATTTGTAGGAGTTTCCCTTGATTCCCAGCTGGTA